GTCTGAGTCAGGTGAAGCAGCGGGTACCGCGAACTATTTTCAAGATGTATTTTTAAAAAAAAAAAAAACATCTTGAAAAGTTAAAAAAGACATCAACTCTGTGCGGCAGTGATATGCATTCTAGAATACATATCAAAGCCTTTTACACTTTACCATCATGAAGGTCTGACATGGATGTGGTCTTTCTAAGGGTCGAGGATGGGGTCGGTTCCTTCCTCGCCTTCATCTTGTCCACCTTCTTCTGGCTGCTGGAGGAGATGGACCTTCGGCCCGGGTAGGTATCGTATTTGGTCGACCTGTCCAGATTCTCCTTGTTTGCCTTCTCGACGGCCTCTCGAGTCTCCATGGGCGCTGACGCAGGCCTCTTGCCCTTAATGATGGGCACGTGGGCATGGTCGGAAGTTGCAATTGCAATGTGGGATTGGTCGTCCGACTTGACAACACCCTCTGAATGGCTATCAGGATGAGAGTTTGATGTCTCAGCAGGAACTTCCCGAGGCGACTCTGATCTAAAAATGCCATCTCTAACATCCGGAGTTGGAGTTTCAGCTTGGACTTCAGATGAATTAGCTCCTGATTTGTCTGTGGGACCAAGGATTCTTTGTTTCACTGTTTCTGGATCTCTAGTTTCTTGGACGTCTTGTGATTCTCTCAAAACGTCTTCCTTGGGAGTGCTCCCTGAGTCTTTGGTTACTGCAGAGTCATTCTCAGGCTGTTTCACCACAGGGGAGCTTTCAGCGGTCGGCTCGGTTTCAATTTCCCGCATCCTATCTTCAAGGACTTTCTGATTCTCTTGGCTCTTCTCAATGTCTTCCGCCACACCGCCTCTCACACTTGGAGAGTCTGCCCAAGTCACAACTGATTCGGAAGGCTTCTCACTGCAGTTGGTCTGTTCCCTTTTGCAGCTCTCCTCGTGCGTAGAGGCACTGGCTGCTGTCGCAGTTGGGGTGCAATCATTCAGGGAAGTCAGTGTCGAGATGGGAGTGGTGGTTGCGGAGGACACGGAGGACGTGGAGGAAGAGGAAGACGTTGATTTGCCTCTCAAAGAGTTCCAGCCCATCTGCCGGGGAGAGAGAACAATTCTTATGTTGATACAAAACTTCATCTTTTTTGGTTACGGGACACATGTCCACACCGTATTCCAATAACTTACAAAGCTACAGAACGTGATTCTTAAACACTGGTGTAGCAAGCAAAATTGAAATGCACTGCATGATTTTCACCTGGAATACTTTATGAATGAAAAAAAACCCAAACCACAGAACTGCAAGCAAAACATGGGAAAAAGCACTTAAAATACATGAATGCAAATATCTCTGTACAAAGTCCTATAAATCACAATGTCTTTACAACTCTCAAAAACCCATTGAATGAATGTTTGACTTTTGGTCTGCAAAACCCAGAACACCCTCTGTTTATTCATGTCATCAAATTTACCTTTGTTTGCTGTGATTGGCTTTTGTGCATATTGCCACAATATAACAAAACAAGTACCAACTCATGTAATGCAGGGCATAGCCTTTGTTCTCTTGCTTTATCTCAGGTGCAACGTGACCCTCATATGTCAGGCATCACACCAGCCAAAAACTGTTGACTGATATTACGTGATATAACAATGAACAGGTTTTAGAAAAGTGCTACATGTACGTAACAAGCAGGCTACACATAACATAAACAGGTGGAAACTCCCAATACACCAAACCAAGCAGCAATAGCATTGGATAATTGCACCCAGTAGACATTATGCACCACATTATTAGCTGGGAGCCAGTATACATACCGTAACAAGGACTGCAAGCATCACTTTTACAGATAATGAAGAGTTGAATGGAAACAAAACTGTACCCGAAAACATGCACTAAAGGACAGGACATGCTGGCCGACAAAAATGAACGGAAAATGGGGAAGGCAAGAATCGCTTGAAGTAAGGTTGTCTGGTGAGTGGATATGAAGGGGCCGTGTAAACTCTGTGAATTCTGACCATGCAACTACAGTTTTTCCCATTGTACATGAACTGCACTTGCAATTTTGGAAGGGAGGTTCAGTGTTAAATTATAAAAATATCTCTGTGGATTTTTGTGGGGGGGGGGGTGAAAAGTTTGAAAAATGGAATCACAAAATTTGTGAAATCTGCTGCTACAGTGCGTTTTGTTCTCAGCACAAATGCGATTAGCAATGTGTCATCTACGTGTCCATGAAGTGGTGCATTTCTAACAAACTGCTTGAAAAAAGACTAAGCACCGCTTCAGGAGGGACTCCGGAGAGTGAACTAACTTACAGATTGCAGTCTCCGTCTAGTCTCATCTACAGCCTTAGCCATGGTATCCTTGCGACGTTGGAGGTACTAATGCCGAGGTGGAAAGACAGAGGGAGGACCGGAGACAGGTGGGGGGGGGGGGAGGGGGATTGATAAGGAGAGAGAGAGAGGCAATGACTGGTGCATTATGGGAGCTACTCCTTGAAGGTTGCTGGTCAGTCCTCTACATTGTGCAATGAGGTCTGGATATGTAATGCATCAGAAGTTGAAATGACGCTGACAAATCATAGGATGTGTTTCCATTCAAACAAAAAAAGAGCAAAAAACCTGCTTCTCAAAGAAATTCACTCGTAGCAGAATACTAAGCAAAGCCACTTGCAGTAACTAAAAAGAGGGCGTTTAACACAAATTCATTAACGCAACAGCATCAATACATTTTACTTAAGTATTTTTTGTGGCTGCAAACCTATACATCCATTAAAACTAAATTGCATCCAAGACCCCTTACAATGATCCCCAATGGAGGTCAGCCTAGATATGGACACCAATGTTAATGAATGACTATTAGCTTGCTTTCACCTGGCAATTTCCATTTCAATATTCAGGGAAAATACTGATATCCATGTGATAAACTGCTTTGTGATGCAACAGAACGGTCACAGTTTGAGAGTCGGAAACACCAACTGAATTGGACAAAAACCACCCAACATAAACACACACCAACAAACACAACACGGCTAAGGCCACATTTCTCAGTTCAGGGCTTACACATAAAACAGCCATTAAACATCAGTCATGCAGGCTACATCAAAATAAATTTAATCAATGAATTCATTGTCTAATCAAATACTGATAACCTTAAACCACAAAAATAATTGATAAGCAATTACCACCCAATCAATCAACCAAATATCAGCCAAGTCAAAATTCATCCAAAAACCCAAACAAAATCTAATCACACAACACACACTCATTTCATAATTGTGGGGACAATACAAATATTAAAAACACAGATGCTGTGAAGACCCAAAACGTTACGGGGACAAAATATTGTCCTCACAACTCAGTCTCGATCTTCCTAACAAACAAAATTGTCTCCTCAATGCAGTAATGACCTGGGCACCCACATGAACACACACACACACACAAAACTCAACTCGACAGATACAGCAAAAATCCAGTTTTATGGGCAACCTGCCAAAGACATATGCAAATAAAAAGAGGTGCAGATCAGCTTTGATTTGCCTGAAGTACTGAACTCTTGGTTTTATGACAGTAAACACTGCTTCTTCAATTGCTTCTCAAGCATGGCCAGCCGGCGCATCTCCCTTCCAAGCACAGTGCTTTTTGCAAGTATCCTAGCAACAGCATAACCTACGGGGAGACGGGCACAGAGCTACTATGCACACAAGAAACTGAAAGCACGCTGATGGATGATAAGGGCGACACAGGACAAGATGGCGGCTGTGAAGGATACTCACCACCTGGGCTGTGACTCCTCCTACTGATGAGGACGGCGTCGGGCGTGTACTCGCTGCCACACCCCTTGCACATAAAGAGATATCCAAATGTAGCAAAATGTTAGGACTTGAGCTTGTGTAATGAATGCTAACATAGATTTAGCAAGGGAAAATAACCCAAACCTGTATCGCTCATGAGCTCACTTTCAGTTGTTGGGATATTGAGTTACAGAATCCAAATCTTGCCCAACGGACGCCGCTACAGATGAGTATTCTCCTGACAGACTTAAACCACAATCAGGTCAAAAACAGAGTTCCTAAATGCAGAGTAGACTTTTTCATTGCTGGTCATATCTGGTATATTGTGAGAGGGTGTAGAGTTCCTATCACTTTATGGAAGAACATGTCATGCTCATGTCACAGGCAGGGGTGAGATACAGAAAAAATAAGAGAAATCCACAAAGCATTCAGCAAAGGCATAAATGACTGTGACTTTTCAGGCTGCTAAGGCATAAGCTCTCTTCCAAATGGCTAGACTCATACAAATTTTGCACTGGATTGTTTGGGCAGGAAGGCCACAAAAGTAGGAAAACCTACATGATTAAATCTCTACAAAACCGCAATGATGGGGTAAAAATCCTAAAAATCTGGAGAAAAATTTGGAAAAATCACATCCTGAGTGAGTTAAAGTGTGCTTTTTTACACCACTACCAGCAAAATTCATCAGGTGTTGTTACTCATTGAACTACAGTAGGCCAAGTTGCCACTACTCATTACACTGCATGGAGTCGCTCTTCCTTTTCAAACAGACTTCCCTGATGGTAAACTCACCTGATGTGGCTGAGCTGTGAGCGGGACAGGAACTTGGAGGAGATGCTCAGCCGGTGGTGGTTGCCGTTGCTCAGCCCTGCCGAGGCAAAACCCGACTGCAGCTGCTCCAGACACTTGCCAAACTTCTCCTGCTCGGTGAAGCTGTAGTTGGTGTGGAGGAAGCTCTCCTGGTCTTCGCCCGCTTCCTCCTCTTCCTCCTCTTCTCGATCAGCGCCGGGGGCCTCCTGGCCGCGGGCCCCCTCCTCGGCTGGGGTTGCGGCAGTGACGGAGGCGGTGGTGGTGGAAGTTCCCTGTGGTGATGGGTCGGTGGGTGAGGAGGGGTTGATCTCGGTGGCAGGCTTCTCCTTGTTGCCCGCTTCGTTGTCTTCGTCTGCAACTTCATCTTCCGCGTCGTCTTCATCTTCATCTTCGCTGGTGCCGAGACTGACGGGGTCAGTGCTTTCAGATTCCTCAACTGTAACATAAATACAAGCGTGAAAGAACACGCACACTACTAATCTTGGCTTAACATCAACAGGGCCTGCTCTTTTCATGAAAGGTATATTTCTTCCTACAAATGGCTGGTACAACTGCGGCTGGCCATCAGCTCGAAAGCACCAAATAAGGAAAACTACTGACAAATTTTAAATGAAAATATGACCCTTCTTAAAGTAATGGGGTAAAAGTACACTTTGAGCGGTGAAATCTGACACAAAACAAGACTGATACTTCCAGTGATCTTGATGCAGCGTGAGAGAAGTCGTAAATGCATGTTAAAATGAATTTCCCCAACACTGGTCGACATTCTGAAATAATGCGAGTTAAGTCAGTAATGCACCACACCTTGGTCTAGCTCTTTAACATCCCTGGCTAGCTTGGGTTCCCAGACTGTCAGCCTCCATGTCACCTACCCAAGCAATTTTTAATCAGGCAAGATCAAATACCACGCACAAAACATTACCGATCAGTAACTGACTACAGCCCAAATCAAAAAGTATACAGAAAAAACCCACACTGCATTTTTGACAGCTCCATACGTATCCAACAGATGACTTTAGATTAAGAGCCCTGAGCTGGACCAAGAGAGGGCGCAATATTCCTCGAAACAGAGACTCCTTTGGTCGGAACTGTACTTTGCTGGTCCATGAACGACTATGAAATGCATGAGCTACGGTCGCGTTGCTACCAGCAAAATAAACACTTTTGACCAACCTGGCTCAGTTAAACCGATGAGGGGGTGCTTCTGCTCCGGGCATTTGTACGAGGTATTCCGGACAACGACAATAGCGGTTATTTCAAGGACGTAGTAAACAATCCAACTGGGTTATATAATACCGAGTACTTCCCTCCATTTTCAAAGGACAGAAGTCAGAGACATTTGACATCTTTGACTGGTAGAGCACCACGCCATCCCCTTGTACCATGCTGCAGTTGAGGACTACCTTGTTGCTTACCTTGGGTGAGACCTTGGTCCTGTATAATCCTGCTACTCCTGGGGCTTTCCTTCTTGACTGATCGTGCCCGTCGCCGCTGAAGCTCTTCAAGACTCGAGGTGGACTCCGTCACCTGAAATTTCAGACTAGCACCCCAAAGCTCATATTAAACATTACTGTAAAACATGCTTTCGATATATAAACAAGTGACTGCAAACCAGCTTTATGTGACAATTTTGCACCAAAAAAGGAGCGACTGAGAATTAACGGTTGAGAAAACATGCTGAGTACATGTACTTGCAGTTATAACAATCTTGGCATGAACAAAAACAAATCAAAAACCCCATAAGAGAACAAAATAAAGAAGTCCAAGAGAAAGCCATGTTTATGCTTCACGGTATTTTCTCCAGTCAAACAGGACCATCACAATGCAATGTGCCCCCAAGAGGTCACAAAAGAGGCCACACTGGCAATGAACTGTCATAAACGATCAACCCAAATGATTCACTTTTGTAAAATGACCCTACAGTTGTTACAATGTCAGTTTTCAGCACACGGATTATTAAAACGGCACATCTGTACTTTTGAACAGAGTGGGCTTCGCATACGTACAGGAGGCTTCGATAGTTGCTCATCTGCAGGGCATAGGGCTGTTAGCAGTCAAGATTACGTTTAAGGAGGACATTAGCTATGCACTGCCTGCCTGCAGTGCACACTAACAGGCAAGAAAGGATAGGCTGGTGGAAGTTTTTCAAACGGGCTTGTGCACATTCCTGACACACAAGGAATGACCGTATTTTCAAACAGACTCAGCCAGAGATGCCAACATTGAGGATGAGGAATCTGTAAGGTCTCTGCCAAAGCCCAAACTTTATCGTACTTGTATATTGGTATGAACGCAGACAGCGTAGCCTGCACAGGTACGTACGTGGTGTCACGCACATGCTTGGTGTAACGAAAATGTTCACTCAGATGCTACCAAAAAATGACAAAACTTACAAATCCAACCTATTTTAAGAAGTCCAAGATTTTTTCAATATTTCTGTCAACTCTTTATCAACACATGTGGTGGCCAAGGAGATTAAATTTCATCAGTTTCAATTTTGTAGATCAACACTCATTGCATTGATGCTATAATCACGGTACCATGCAGCGTGACAAGTATTAGCATCCAGTGTTGTGTAAACACTACCATTTGCAAAGTACCTGTGCACCAGTTGAGAATTCCGCCGGCTATCATGCTCAGCAGCATCGTAATAAATTGAGAAATTTTTCAAATGCCTTACGAATCTTTGAATATTAAATGGAAAGTCACCAATGGTGAAATGACAAAACTAAACTTAAAGAAGCTGATCTCATTTGGCATGGGCTGTAACTGACTATTTCGACTAAAAATATGACGTAATGGGCCAACCTCTTTCCCAAGTAAAATTTCAGGTGTACACTGTGTATTATGGCTAATTTGGTGGGATGCGTAAAAGTTGGTCAGTTTCATGGGTAAGAAATATAACACAAACAAACATTTCTTCCTGTCTAAAATTGGCTTTAATATAACGGCCAAGACAGGCAACATATAAAACCAACACAAATATTCAGGTAATTTTGTTTATCACAGTTTGCTTAAAAATCCGAAAGCATTCACAAGGCAGTTGTAAGGCCGTAAAGTTGATCCTCAATCCGGAGGCCTTCCGGTGAAATACATGTAGGAAGGGTTGGCATCTCTGACTCAGCACGTGCCAATGCGTGTCCCATGCCAAATGCCCATAAACCTGGGCGGGCACGCAGTGTGCTCTCACCACTTCTTGTTGTTGCTATGTAAAAGCATGCCCTCTCTTGTTCGCACTTGGAGGGGATATTGCAGATTCTTCTTATTGCTTCAAATGTATCCCAGTTGCCAAGGAAACGCATCCTACCTCTCAGGGGAGGAGCTGGACTCCTCACTGGGTGGGTAGATGATGACCTCGTTGGCTTCCTCCTCCTCTTCTTCCTCATCCTGCTCCTCCTCTGCCTTCCCAAGGTTCAGCTCCTCGTCGGGCGTGTCAGGGCTCAGGATGCTGTGGGTGTGGCCGGCGGGAGGGAGGAATGGCTCGCTTCCACGAGAAGATGTCACAAACCCCTGCAGCTGTGGAAAAGAAGATGAGTGGTCACTCCATATACTTGACAATGGGGGAAGGGGGAAATGTGGTGTCATACGAAACTTTTTACTCGTAAAACAGAGAAGGGGACCACTGATGTACTACTTCTAATATAAGATTTACAAGCTGCATGTTTAATTATTTTCCAAAATGCTCTTACTTTGCTAATTGGGCATCTTAATGAGGTCAAAATGTAATAAAACTGTTTTATTTTGCATCTCTCTGTGACCAATTTCGGCGTTCACACAACACCATTTCTGACATGAATTACGTGTCAAAATGTCATTCCATCCACCGAAGAATTGCCCATTTACAGCCTAGCCTGATTAGAACAAGAGTTGAGATAGAGGTGTGATGAAAGTCTCTTCTTTACATTAAAGGTAAACGTGTAGAACTTTGTACATAACCCATACGAGATATGTTGTAAGCCTCTCCGTGCATTGAACCATGAGAATTTGTTTGGTGGTAGGGTACTGTCGGTTGCAGGATGATGGCTATGAACAGGCTTCCAGAGAAATGGAGCAATACGTCAAGCTGTAAAGTTTGGTACGTGATTTGATGAAAATAGCTCTTTTGTGATCTGCCCAAGCAATAAATTGACCTTTTTTTGCTACTGCACAATGTGTATTGTCTTTGCTCGACTCAGGCTTGTTATAAAGGTTTAACCCTAACCCTCCTCAATCCTCCTATATCCTTTGGGTGGTTTTGGAGGATTTTGGAGGATTGAGGGTGAATAGCAAAAATGCATGGCTGATTGGGAAGGATGCCATGAGTGAAGGTTGTAGATTAGTCCTTGTGTTGTTTTTGCTTAGTCAAGCACAATTCAGCCCGATATTTCTTTTGAATCAACCGCACAGCTCAGGAATGCCATTCGCACTGCCCCAACATAATGACAGGAATTGCCACAGGATTTGAAGGACTGAGGCATGGGACAGCTCCAAAAAACATTTTCAAGAAATTTTAGAGGATTTGGAGGATTGAGGCGGAATGTAACTTTTTCATGTTGAAAATCTGAGGGATTTTGGAGGATTGAGGCTGAATACAACTTTTTCATGTCGAAAATCTGAGTATTTTGGAGGATTGAGGATGGTTCCTAGTAAAAAGGCCTAGGGGGTTAGGGTTAAAGTTGATTTTTTAGCAAAAAAATTAACAATAAAATGACAAAGAACACACACTGCAATGACTATGAGAGCCGCTGCAGTTTATTTGCATGGCCTGTGGCTTGAATTTACACCGGAGGTCTTTTGTCGGTCTTGTGATGGAGACGTGATCTGACGTTGTAACAATCCGTCCTTTCATTTCTGGAATACTGATTTTGAGTATCTCCCCAAAGTTTTTCGGCCATTAAAGAAAAGGACGACTCACCAACGGATTGGAGGGATCTCTCTGATCTTCTAAGTCAGCCAAGCCTTCTTCGGCAGGCACAAAGTCTTCTGCCTCAGTGATGTGCAATGAACTCTAAAGCCATTAGAAAAGGGAGACATGTCCAAATGTGGGTGGTGTGAATTTATGATTTCTTTCATGTCTTTACATTTCTTCAGAAGTTTCTCTCATTATGAAGTTTATGTGCCAGTTCACTGTTGGTGCTGAACGTTTACCACTTAAAATCCTCCTACCCCCAAAAGAAGACGGTAAAGTGGCTTCCCTACAAGCTAGGTTATTTCAATAGACCTTACATTTGGGTCTTAATGAATGCAGATTTGTAGAAGACAACTGATGAAGCATTTACACATTATACAGATGCGGTGTTCCCCTCAAGATCAAAGTAAGTAGCTAATAGCATTACTGTGACGTTCCACAGAGATTTCACTTGAATTTCTTTTGCCCAACTTGGGAAATAATTATTACTATTATTATGAATTATTTTAACTCTCCCGTCGCAGCCCAGAGGCTGAATTGTGGGCCAGTTTACACTCATAAAAAAATTACCAATAATTGCTAAAAAACATCTTAAAGAAAGAATTTACTCAGATAAAACTTTTAGTTAGAAAAATTCTAAAAATTTTAAACAAAACCAAGTTCGCTAAAATGTCACTATTTCAATTATAAACAGTTAAAATAGGACACAAAATCTACAATAATTACAAGAAGTTCTCATTCAGAAGTCAACGAGAGAAGGGATTGAACTGTATTTGTATCTATCAGTTCGGCATCTCGGGATTGACAAAGTGTTGGCGTTTCGTAAATTACTGGACCTCGTTGGTGGAAGCCAGTCGCGATGAGAAATAAGAAGTTTCTTGCCAAATTTCAAACACAACTGATCACGTCTTTCCTTTAACGAGGGTAGTTGCAGCTCACTGCACATATGATCATATGACGTATGACTTGAAACATCAATGGATGAAATAGTCCAAAAAGCTCGTTTTTGTAGTTTTTGGAGCAATTGGTCTTACCTGCAGTCTCTCCTTTTCTGCTATTGCAGCCTGAAACACAGAGAAAGAAACTTGGTCAGCTTCGGATACAATCCATTGTCCAGTGTCGTAGTCAAGACATTCAAAAGGTCAGTTACAAGAACAGAGTGACCAGAGACAAAGGAATGCTTTTGCTGTAGTTCATATAAAGTTGAAGTTTGGAAATTAAATTCAGACCGAAGATGTGATCTGACATTGAAACAATTCATCTGTTTTCTGGTCTCTAAGTAAAAAAAAGTGACTTTAATACAAAAAGATAAAACACAAGTTCAACTACAAGAGGCAATTCAAATACACGGTACTAAAGAAAAGAGAAAAACATTAGAATACGGTAAAACCACACACCATGGTTAGTTAAAAAGAGACTGATAAAAATTCCAATTATCTTATGAAATAAATATTAACAATGCATATTTTAACACTTAAAAATTGTAACAATGTAATATGATAAATCTTGACATCACAAACAATAGTCACTTGCTGGTTTTCTTAGACAAAAAAAAAACAGAAAAAAGTTATGGAAAGACATGCAACTGGTGCTAATTACCCTACAAACCCCCTTTTTTCCCTCATGCATAAACTTCCCAGATCCATTCAATCTGATCCTTCGGAGATCCACGATGGTCAAATAAAAACCAACTTCAAATAAGGAATCCATTTCAAAATTTGAATATACTGCATCATCATGAAGAAAAAATTCAAAAACCGACAACAAATTAGTAATTCAGTGCTCATTATTTTCCAGCATGCAAAACCAATCTTGTACCACAGTTTACGGTTGCATTCAAACCCGACAAACTCGTCAAAGCAAACAGCGATCCTTCTTTTGAAACAATCGCGGCCAACCCTTCTTCATTATTCCGAGCCATCGGTGACAAACCGACACAACCACTGGCTGAACAAGTAAAGCCAGAGCCCACACCATTTGGACTGCTCGCTATCTGGACACACCCTCGGTGTGTCACTGAGCACTTACCTGGATTGTCATGGGTCAGTGTGTCAGTACAAACACGGGAGTGAACGTGCAGGAGCATTCGTGAGTAGTAACACTGGTCTCCCAGAAACAGAGGTGAGTCAAGAGAGTTTTTTTTTTTTTAACAAGAGATGGATACTTACAGAGTGTAAAATGGCAAAATGTCTTACTTGCTCGGCCAGGTTTTCTGGCTCCACGGTATAACGCCTTCTATCTGTAATTACATGTACATACACAAACAAGAATAGTGTGTTAAAAACACAAATGCCCTGCCAAGTCCATGCCTAAACGTGTCAGGTGACACATCTCTGGAAATGAACTTCTTTTCTAAAGCATTTTCTGCAAAAACAGGAAGTTCAGTGTCCTCACTACCTTTATTAAGCTCGCATGAGTATTAGAAATAATCCAGTCCCCCGATTTTTGGATAGTAGCAAATAACCAGCTACCTCTAAGCATGTCTGTGCCTATTTATACTTTCAAGTGCATTCCATGCGAGGTTTATGCAATGCCTCTGCCTACCTATGCCATCTGCCAGCCTGAGCTCAATATCACGGTGGGCATCCCATTCTGACTTCACCTTGAAGCCCTTGGAGTCCAGCCGCTGAGCCCAGCGGCCCCTGGGCTGGGCTGGGTTGCTGTAGGTGGTAGGGCTGGGCAGGTCCTCTCCGCAAACCTGCATGTGCATGTAAATATGGCACACAGGGATATCACAGTGAGTTTCAGAAGACCAGCGATTTAGGCATCAGTGGGCCACACACTGGGCACTTGAGATAATAGGACTGATCCATTAAGCCCTGCCCCATTGCTTTCTGACCAATCACAGCCTGACGTGTGCACATGCGTTTGGTGTGTACAGCTAGCACCTGTAGTGTGGTATTGCAGAAGAGCATGTGCTTCCATAAGTGCCCATGTGCACAGTGGGCGGGGCTTACTGGATCAGTCTCTATCATGGAGTTGCTTGGCACAGAAATGTATGACGTTCTTGTACAATGAGAGAGAACTGCAGGGTGAAAATACTTCCATCGGGAAAGATATTAAAGTTTAGCAAATAAAGCTTATCGCACTTTATTCAGACATCCGAATCTATTCACGGAATCACGCAATTACAATGACTGCATTAACAGCAATTTCCAAACATATGCCACCTGGCACTTCCTTAGAAACAAGCCTCTTTTATCATTTCTGTCCCCCCAAAAAAACCATTTCTGTCAAATATAGTCCAACATGTGAGCACATGCATACAGCCAGGACCTGTAGTGTGGTATTGCAAAGGAGCACATGCTACCATAAGTGCCCATGTATGCAGTGGGCGGGGCTTACTGGATCTCTCCACCCAGCCAGGAGTAAATGGGTACCTGCGAGGGTAGACACGGTTATGTTTAACCGTTTGCACCAAAATGGCAGAATCAGGCTAGTATACTCCCCAGAGAGCTGAGATGGTTTCAGGAATGTTCAGATGACGTGAGCCCAATGTGCAGGGATAATGATAACAAGCGTATAGAGACATTTCATATATATATTTCGCTATATTAGAACTGACTATAATTATTAAATAGCATGCCACAAGTACTATTCTTTCAAGCAGGTCTGAAGCCAAAACACAAGATACACACAAAGGTAATTGGTGCAGGTAGCTACCAAAGACAGTTATATTACAAGGCATTGACTTATTAACCAGAATTGAGCCAAGATTAAGTTGACTGACCTGTTTCTTTGCCCAAAGGGGAAGGTCCGCTGTGCTATCTGCAGAGATAAGGAAAACGGTAAACCAAAGTGAGAATGAGTTAACCAATGTTCTACTAAATCCCTGACATTTATCTCCGGGCAAATCCTAGATCTCCTATTGTTCTAATCATTCTCCAAGTCAAATTATCACCGGGCACATCTTGGACTTCAGGCAACACAGAAGACACCATTTGCCTTGGCAAGGGACCACAATGCTGCATCTTTAACCATTTCATGCCAGATGGCAAGTGCCTGTAAACACGCAGGGCTTTTTTGTACAGTGGCCATTTTATGTATGTAGCACTTGGAGGTTGAGTGTGTATGGCGCCCTCTGGCATCCTGTGTCGTAGCCGAGCGTAGAAGCAGTAGAACACTGCTCTGTGATATTGTCTGGGAGTGTGAAAGATTGATGTCATGCGAGGAATTATCAAAGAAATCCTTCACAAAGTGTCAATTGCATTTGTAATGTCCAAATTTTGTAAAATAGAAAGTTCAAATTTTGAAAAAAGAACTGTGGTTGTATGAGACATCACACATGTAAGTCTGCATGGTGGGCATGAAATAAAGCATGGAAGGCTTACAGTAACCCCTTTAAATCAGGTGAGTTCTTGAAGTTTGTCATGGTAAAGGCAGCAAGTATACAGGTTTGGGGTAGCACCATGCAAGGATATCTCTTTCTGAGCATGTGTGGTTCTTTTCAGAACCGGTTCTTCTCTGGTTCCTCTCAGAACCACATACACTCAGAAAGAGAAATCCTTGCATGGTGCTCCCCCAACCCTCTATAACTTGACACCATTTTAATTAATCTCTTTTTTTAGTTGTACGGTTCTGAGAAGAACCAGTTGCTTCAACGTGACATTTTGTACAGTGTCCTTTGTTAATTATCAGGGGACTGCAACCGTAATATCGTGCCCTTTAAAAAAAAAAAGGTATTTGTGGCCAAAAATATTAGAGCACCTGGAACAATGACTGGTCAACTGTTACGCGCATGTTAAAGTGACATACGTAGTTTGGGTCCCCCTTGCCAGTCCACCTCATCTTGCTCCTCGTCTCCGTTGTCCTCGTCGCCTCGCTCGTCCATCATCTCGGTGTCTGCGGCAATGCTGTCGCTCTCTGTGACGGCTGGGGTTGCTGTGCTGTTCCTGCTTCTGGTCTCTATGGCGATGGCTTTTGGATCCAACTCGTCAGGTGGCACGATGTAGGTGCCTCGTCTGGGCCAGAAAAACCAATGCAAAAGTGGTGACTCCCCTACAGTGCTTGTAACCTTCATAAAACGGAACCTACATAAATGTAACCAACTGCTAATTGAGACAGTTTTTTGGCTTCCCTATTTTTCTGTTCATTTATTTTCATGGTAACTATAAAAGCTTCCATGATGCTAGAATATCCAGGCAGGAGACAAGAATACCCTGCCCTTGAATCTTCTTTGATGTATGCAATCTTCTTCCTCATTTTCTAAGAATCGTGCCGAGCCTTTTGGAAAGTTTTTCAATGATGTCTTGCAATCATTTTGACACAAATTTTAAGGAAAAAAATCACTGTCCACGTAAAATGCCTGTTTTTCCAAGACAGGGTGGCACATGTTAAATGTTCGAGGTTGGACTAAATCCAAACCTCACAGATGTACTTATAACAGATGTCTTCATGTGCATGAGAAGTTTCAAAGAGATTGATCATTGGGACGGTTGAGGTTAGGGGTAAAGATGTCCCATTCTCCGAAGGAAATCCAGGAAAACTGTTAATGTATTACAAAATCTAACATTTACCTGATGGATCAAATCTCAAACCAACTCTCCTTAGCAGCAGCAGCTACAGAGTATTCCAAATACAATGGTCCATTTCCCTAATTCCAGCATTTAACTGACTTACTGAAACTCCAATTTACGTTGACAGTGCCACAAAACTCCATGAACGACCTGATCTGTGTCTGACTTTATCGGATCGAGCTCTAATCCATCGCGTCTCTGACTCACTCACCTCAGCATTGAATACGCAGGCGTCTGCTTCATGTGCTGTCCCATCTCATTGAGCCTTTCCTTCATATTATGCGTAAAGCCCCACGGCAGCCGCCACACAAAGATGCACCTGGAAGGAATGAGAACCACAGAATCAAACACACTTGATAAGGAAATTGAACACCCGAAAACTCTCCCAATCTTAAATTACTCCCACTAATTTGAAGAGCTATTTTGCTTCAAATGAAGTAATTCAAAAGTGAAACACTGGTTTTCTTTAACCTGTTTTTAGTAAGCTTCCTTCTTTTGTTAACAACTTTTATTCTGCTTATTTCAAACTGTTCCCGAGGAATGTTTCGAGGTTAAACTGCTCTTATTTACACACCAATGCATTGGCACTTGGGAAGGTTTCCGCTCACTGACTTACCCATCACCGGACGTAGAAATGAGATGCTTGCAATCACTAGTGAATTTGATGCCAGTTACCAGTTCTGGGAGCAAAGAACAACTTCACTTTAAAAGTCCATTTTGGTTTTTTTGGGGTGGGGGGCTGGAAAATATTTCTGATAAACGTTTGCAGGGTTCCAGTTGGCCAAACAAGAAAATATATCTGCATGTACATTTTTGCAAGCCACTAATTTTTCATGCAGTGTTAAAGACCATTTTTTTTCCTCACCAACTGGCGATTCTGAATGATCTTGGAGGAACGGAGTAAAACAAGTCCAACGGGCCAAATCCTGAGTGGAGCAACTAAGAAGTACCGTAGGTCTGCATCTTGGAAGGGTCTACTGGCATTTCTACCCTAATTAGATAGTCAGCTTCGCTAAAGTCTCACGACAACAAATTGCCCCACGGATACTCACCAGAGTGGCCGTCCATGGTGGCCACGCACTCCCCAGAGTAGAAGTCAAAGATGGCCACGCTTTTGTCGGAGCAGCTGGTGGCTATGTACATGCCGGAGGGGTCCAACTCCACCTTGATCAGGGTGCCGTCCTCCCCCACTGAACCCTTGTAGGTGCGCTTCAGTTTGCCCGAGACGGCATTGTGGATTCTGGCGGGGCAAAGGCAGTACACAAACACACATGACTGCACCCACAAGCCACAACCACAACGGTGGAGTGCATCTGCAAGATTTAATCTTGCAACAGGTAGATCAAGCTAGAAAAAAAACATCCTGAAATCGGCAGATGAAACTGAAAAAGGTGGATACAATATGAAAAAAGGCAGAGGAGACAAATAGCATATGAAAAGGAAATTAAGACCTGGAAGATATAATTGGATTTGCACGGTGATTTCCAAAAAGAAGCTAAGAGCTTTGAAAATTTATGGGAAAAATATACAGCACTTCATTACATCAGCTGCTGTACTGTGCAAAAGTAATGGCCACTGTTCGTTTCTTCTAAACAGAGTTGGTACACTGTTTCCCCAAGTCCTTTGGGTTTCCTTAGTTTACACTGGTTATATTTTTGGACTGGTCCTCGGAAATCCCAGGCTTATGCATTTCCAACAATGTGTCATGTTTTCATTGCTTTTCAGCTAACCTGATATTTCTGTCCTGACAAGCGGTGGCAACAAATTTTTCAGTGGGATCCACGGTCAGGTCATAAATCGTTGTCTTGCCGACAACGTGGTGGTTGCGAATGAACTCAAACTCTGGATTCTGGTGAAATAAGCAACCAAGAAATTAAGATATGAAGGTTTTAAAGTTGCACGTACTGTGAGCACCAACGATGAAGAACATGACGATAATGCTGAACAATTTTCGCTGTCAATGTCAATCATGAAGTCATGATTATAAAGAGGGCGTCCTGCAAACATAACAAAAGCTTCAGTTCTTCCCACTAAAACTACACCAAGATATGAATATTGACAGGATGGTGATGGTGCTAGATTTGGCATATCCTTCCTCTTCAAATGTCATCATGGGTAGCTCGACTGTTGCCGCAGACTTTATAACTCCTTTGGCCTGGCTGGCAGGGCGTAAAATCCAAGACGCTTACCTGAGTTGCCACTCTGAACATGAGAGCCTTGTCAGCTCCACAGCTGATCATCTGAAGACGGTCGTTGCACTCTGTAACAGGCAAACGCAAGCAAAAACCCAAAATGACTGTTTGCTGGGGAAGCGACAACGAGCATCCCCGAGATCAATAACTGGAACTATTGGGAGGAAGAGCAAACAGGAGTACCACTAATGAGGAGAAGGTGAAATTATTGCCAGCCAAGAAGAGGTAGACAATACTGATGAAATAGGATAAACGTTATTTTGAATAATGCATAATTGCAGGCATGCAACTTGGACTTTGACAAAAAACAGGAGGAAATTCCAACCTGTACAAAACTTTGCACTGTGTTTTTCATCTTTCAATGGCATGAGTGTAAACTGAAGAAACAAGGAAATCAACTGATCTGAGGAAAAGTTGCATGCCTGATAATCCATGATTAAATAAAAACAAAATCAAAATAGATAAGAAAATAAAGAAAGCACTTGATGCAGAGGAGAATGGGATGAGTAGCAAAGTGTAGGATATTTCAAATAGACAGTCACAAATGTGTCGATTAAATGTATTTGGCTTTCTTTTCCTGGTTTTCTTTCACAGATGGACAACTGAACTCACGTGTGAACTTGACGGCTGTGATGGAAGACGAGTGGTCATCCAGGGTCTGAAGCAGTGAGCAATCTTCTTGCATGTTGAAGACATGGATAAGTCGGTCTCGACTTGCTGAAGCCAGTAAGTAACATCCTATCCAATCAAGAACAATATTTTGCCTTTTGCTCTCTCTCAAAAAAAAATTGAGTGAAAACAAATTAATGTTTTCATTCACAACACCTGAGAAATTTGTACCTGAAAATAAAAACTCCTCTCTTTGTCAGATGTGGAATCAGTGAGCTTACACACACATGATCCCAACACTGGATCATTATTCCAACTCCCATCCCACCTCCCTTCCTGCTTAAAGTGATGGGTTGCAGGCCCTGATGAACACTGCTTCCTTCACCCCCCCCCTTTCGCATTACCATGTGTCCCCGGCCAGGATGTTGAATTCTGATTTGTCAGTGTACAGTGACCAGGTGGTTCCATATGAATATGTTGAGAAACTTCTCGACATGTGCAGCTGGGATGACGGTGCTCTAGGAACCTGGTCTTGAGGGACTTCTCAATCTCCCCAATACAGGACTCTGTGTAATTGTCCTTGTCTAATCTGCCCTTGGCACAGGATGTGGTGGATCAAACCCATCTGGTCCTACACCGTTTCATCCTACGGGTAATAGAGTAATTCTCTGACAGTGTGCGGTGGGCTTAAAACAGAATGCTGCACAACACAATCACCACAAACAAAACATTTGGAGGTCATCCCTTACATCAAAGGGACCTCCAAGGCACTTGGAATATCTTCACCCTACAACATGAATGTGTGTTTCACACCCACGCACACAAGTGTGTATTTGCCTGCAACTGGGGACCCCCTTTT